CACAAGTGTCACGATTATACAAAGGTGGATAGAAATTTGTTTCAATGATAATTCTCACCCTCCTCAATACCCCGTATATTAAATTAAACGAAAAAAGGATCGAAATTAACCTCGATAGAAATCATATATAAAAGTATAATTTCACAAAAGGATACAAGAAAATTACAAACTTTAAGAGAAACTTTAATTCAAATAAAAAAAATTCATTTCAACCTTTCCTTCTTCTTCCATCCATTTCCTTTTCTTCCTCTCAAACAGTGCCAACTCCTCCAAGAGCAGCAACCCCTCCAATCGAGCCGGACGAAGCGTGTCCAAGAAGATTGGGGATCAACCCTCTCGAGCCGAGATCGGTAGCCGAAGAAGAGGCCAGGCCAGAGGATCCAGCCACACTGGTAGCGCCACTGGAATCGATCCTGGAAGAGAAGCCGGTTCCAGCCGAGCTCGAGGACACGGCGGACACGACGACAGGAACGGATTGAGACACGACTGGCACCGTCGTCTGAGGAATGTTGACGTGTTGGGAAACGGAGATCGGCTGAGAAGAAGCCTGCAATCTAACAGCGGGTGGCTGGGCAACTGGTCTCTGATGAGGCGTGTGAACATCCCTGACCAGAGGATGCTGCCTCGCGTAATAAGCAGTAGACAGTGAGGGATACCGTTGGACGAGGACTGGCGCTTGGTGGACGATGGCTCCACCTCCTGCTAATCCTCCCGAAAGTTGGCCGGCCCCCAACCCATTGGCGAGCCCCGTCAATCCGAACCCGCTGGATTCGAAGTCGTATCTCGAGGCGAAGTCCAAAGCAACCGGTGATCCCGCCGTGCCCAACAGGATTCCTCGCTTCGTCTTCCTCGCCTGTTTCTCGGCTGTCTCGGCTTTCTCAGCCACCACCGCGCCCGCCAAAAGGCAAAACACCTGCGAAAATCAGGAGAGTTTGTGAAAATGAGCGATAAGTTCTTTGGTTGCTTCTTCTTTTTTTTAGGGATGATGTAAATGAGCAAGATGTAATTTTTATTCACCTTTTTAATGATGCTTGTGACGGATGGTCGAGGAATGATGAAAAGGTAGGAGGATAGGGTGGGTATGATGAATAATAGAAGTTAGGTAAGATTATATCTATTTCTTCTAGGTTTGGCAAGAGGAGTAATAAAGGAGAAATAAAATTGTCGCGTTAAGAAACGAGCCTGTTAATTCCTCTTAATTCTTAATTCTATGAAAACAAAGAACTATATTTTCGTCTACTTAAATGGAAGTTAGCTTATAATGGAAGTTAGGCAATATTATTATATCTATTTCTTCTAAGCATTGGCAAGAGGAATAATAAAGAAGAAATAAAATTGTCATATATCTTACAGATATTCATAGTTCCAATAAGTATTTGATAATTAAGAAACGAGCTTATTAATTCCTTTTAATTCTATAAAAACAAAAGTCTATTTTTTCGTATACTTACAACTTATAATTATAATGAAATATATAATATATATAAATATATATAAAAATAATGAAATTAGGCAAAATTATATCGATTTCTTCTAAATATTGGCAAGAGGAGTAATAAAGAAGAAACAAAATTGTCATGTTTCTTCATATTATTTTACAGATGAATACAGATATTCATAGTTCCAATAAGTATTTGATAATTAAGTAACGAACCTGTTAATTCCTCTTAATTCTTAATTCTATGAAAACAAAGATCTATCTTTTCGTCTACTTAAATGGAAGTTAGCTTGTAATGTTGTAATGTAAAGTTAGGCAAGATTATATCTATTTCTTCTAGGCAAGAGGAGTAATAAAGAAAAACAAAATTGTCATTTCTTCATATTATTTTACAGATGAATACAAATATTCATAGTTCCAATAAGTATTTGATAATTAAATAACGAGCCTGTTATTTCCTCTTAATTCTTAATTCTATAAAAACAAAAGTCTATCTTTTCGTTTACTTACAACTTGTAATGGAAGTTAGGCAATATTATATCTATTTCTTCTAGGCATTGGCAAGAGGAGTAATAAAGGGGAAATAAAATTGTCACGTTTCTTCGTATTATCTTACAGATGAATATAAGTATCCATAGTTCCAATAAAGTAAAAAAAGTAAGTGAAATAAGTGAAGTAAGCGAATAAAGTAAAAAAGAAAGTAAAGTATTCGATAATGAAGAAACAAGTCTGTTAATTCCTCTTAATTCTTAATTCTATAAAAACAAAAGTCTATCTTTTCGTTTACTTACAACTTATAATGAAAGTTAGGCAAGATTATATCTATTTCTTCTAGGCATTGGCAAGAGGAATAATAAAGGGGAAATAAAATTGTCACGTTTCTTCGTATTATCTTACAGATGAATATAAGTATCCATAGTTCCAATAAAGTAAAAAAAGTAAGTGAAATAAGTGAAGTAAGCGAATAAAGTAAAAAAGAAAGTAAAGTATTCGATAATGAAGAAACGAGTCTGTTAATTCCTCTTAATTCTTAATTCTATGAAAACAAAGGTCTATCTTTTCGTCTACTTAAATGGAATTGTAAAATTAGCTTGTAATGTTGTAATGTAAAGTTAGGCAAGATTATATCTATTTCTTCTAGGCAAGAGGAGTAATAAAGGAAAAACAAAATTGTCATTTCTTCATATTATTTTATAGATGAATATAGATATTCATAGTTCCAATAAGTATTTGATAATTAAGTAACGAGCCTGTTAATTCCTCTTAATTCTTAATTCTATGAAAACAAAGGTCTATCTTTTGGTTTACTTACAACGTACGCGCTCCTCATCGTCGCTCCCGTATTCGAATGTGCCATCACTCGTTTCGGTTCCCGATTTTATACAGGTGTCCCTATATTCACTTTCACTGAAATCGACCGTCGTTCGACGCCCTGCTC